CAGTACCAGGTGAGGAGCGCGGGCGGCGCCGCGGGGCCTCCAGAGAGGGCCCTGGAGCTGCTCCTGGAGGAGGAGCTGGTGGAGGGTCAGGCCGGGGGCCTGGGGTTGTGGTCACGGGCCAGAGTTTGGGGAAAGGGTCAAAGGGACCGCGATGTTGAAGCAGTTAGGAGTGACCTGGGGCTTCTTGGCACGGAGATTCTGACTGAGAGATGGGAGCGTCTTGGGGCGGGAGTCTAATGAATTGTGGGCGCAAGGGTTGAGAAGTCTAACCCAGGTCCTAGGGTGGGGGTTCCTAGGAGGGGATGAGAAAGTTTTGGGAAAGGATCTTACTGAGAAAGCAGGGTTGCCCTGCACTGGTCTCGTTCCCATTCCAAGTCTGCCCTGTTTTTTGGTGTTTTTGTTTTTTGTTTTTCTATTTGGGAATTGGCAGATTTCTAGCATGTTTGGGATGGTTCCCAGCTGCTAGAGAGGAGGAAGGAGGCCTGGCGTCCCACAGCATGGAGCTTGGCCGGGATGAATCCAGGTTAAATCAGAGACAGTGGTGCCCAGGCCTGAGGAAGACCCAGCCCAGTAACAGACCACTCCTATCCTGAGTCTTCTGCCTGATGTCAGTGTCCAGAAGTTGAATCTGGAGGAGCAGAACAGAACAGAATGGCTCCACTGAGACCTGCTGGTTCTGGGGCTGGAGGAGCCTGCATTTGCAGGGGGTTGCTTCAAAGAGTACTGTCCTGACCCTTCAGGCTTCAAAGAAGAGTGAGTCTCAGGTTGCAGCTTCAAAGGCCATTGAGGCAGACTTGATCCTTGCGGTTATTGTGTATGGAACTCTTGACTGCTGTTGAGGGCTGCTCAGTCCCCCAGTGTGTTCTTTGAGGCTTTCCCCAGTATGCTTAGGAATTGTGACTGACATTTCTCCAGCACCCTTTCTACTTTATTTAACTTCCAAGTTCTGACCAGCACCATGTGCCCGAGCCTTTGGCCTCAGCTTCTAGCTAAATGTCCCAAGATGTGTGTTGTTGCTTTCTTTGTTCTGACCTGGCATGTCCAGGTAGAGGTTCTAGAAATTTATTCTCCTGGAATACCAGGGCTCCTGAACCCTCACTTTCTAAGGAGATGCTTACTTGGGGATACTGATTTTTCTCTTACTCCTCATTCCCCTCCTTCCTGAAAAGAAAACAAAGGAGGTTTTGAGGGTGAGAAGAGGAAGACGTGATCCTCAGGTTCCAGCCTGGGTCCATCTTTCCCATCATGCTCTCTCACTTGGAGATCCTGGGCCCAGAGTGTTGGTGAGTGAGTGGTCCTTGTATCGGTTATTCCAGTCCTTAGGTTGATCACCTGAGACCGTCTGGGAGCTTCTTGTTGGCTTTTTGGTCTTGGATGGGCCTGGGACCTCCAGAAGCCTTTCCGGTTTCCTTGGCATGCTACCCATAGGAAAGGTTCGCTTGGGAAAGCCCCTTCAGGCATGGGTTCCACACTTTCTTGGGGAGTGGCCTTGGACCTGTGGCACAGCCAAACTGGCTGGCCAGGTAGCCCCCCGGGGAAGCAGGAAATGGCTCTGAGCCCTGGCTTCCAATCCCTCCAGCTTTCTCATCGTCTCCATCTCCTTCACCCTTCTCTTTGCTCCAGAAAGGGGTAGAACAGATAGATGGGGAGAACCAGCTGACTTGGCTTGAGTCCGAGGGAGATCCTGCCTGCCCTCTTTCAAGTTGAGTTGTATGACTTCCAAGAGAAAGACTTGAGATCTGGGGAACAAAGGGGTTCCTGCCTGTTCAGGATCGTGACATGAGCAGGAAGAACAAGGATTTGAGGGCCCAAGCTGGACAGATAGGGGACCCTGAGACCTAGACTGTAAGCAATTGAAAAAAGTCAAGTGATGGCCCATCTCCCTCCAGAGGGTGGCTCTAGCTGTTTGATTACAGTCAACGGAGGAGTTTAAAGAAAAGCAACAGCAAAAGCAAAACAAAACCTACATTGCTGTGTTCACTTTAGATGTTCAAAATACTTTCTACTCATGGGGTGGGGTATAGTCTCCAATCAAGGCCTTTTAAGCCCAGCTACCAGGAACATTAGGGCCACAGGCTTTGGGTTGGAGCAGGGCATACTCACCTGAACCCTAAATTCTTCACTTTGATGCAGCAGTAGCAGCAAGCCCAGCCTCCATCCTGCTGTCCTGAGAGGAGAGTGGTGTAGGCTCAAGTTTAGAATATAGGCTGTGCTGGGCCTAAGGGAGGAGGTTGCTAAACCTTCTGGGTTTCAAAGGTTTGAGCCAGACCTACCTAGCCCTGCTACAGGCAGGAGGCTGAGAGTTTGGGGTGGTGGATTTTTTTCCCTTTCTTTTCTACTCCTGAGCTTTTTTTTTTTAAAGGAGGAGGAGTTATTGGCGCTTCAAAGCCCAGGTGTAGAGCTGGGCAATGTTTAGCCCGACTTGGTGAACTGTAAGCAGCCTTCCCCTGGGTCCCTGAGTGAACTGGAGGCCAGGAGCCAGGGAAGTCTGAAGCTGATGTCTGGGTGGGGCCTATTGTAGGTCTGGTTTCCATCTTGGGATTTCCTGTTGCCTGAGCACCTGTACTGGAGGTCTGGGTTGGTACTGCAGGTTTTATGAGTAGCTTCTTGGGGACCACAGGGCTGTAGTTCAAACTCAGCAGGTCTTCTGTTTGTCTCAGGTACTGGGAAACAAGTCAGAGATGTCTGGTTCAGGCTTAAAGCTTGGACCACACTGAATTTTTACTCCCTTTCTGTAATCTTGGCCATGGCTCATTAGAGCAAAGAAACTGGCTGTCTTTTGCCTTTCACCACCCTTGATGAATCTTTTCCTGATGGGGAGAAACTTGTGGCAAGACTCCCGAGGTCCCAAGGCTCTTCACTTTTAACTGCTCCTTCTCCAAATGCTTCCTTCCTAACCTACTCCTTCTGTCCCCTTTTCCACTTCTCTGGGTCATGTTTCTCTCAGTGTCTGCATCTGGTCATGAATCTGACCCTCTGTGGGGAAACATGGGCTTGATACTAGATGAAGAGGTGGGAGATTCATCTCCAATATGTTGGGGTGGGAGAGGGTCCTTCGATTTGGCGCAAGTCTCCACCCAGCTTGGCTTAGTTGGCTGGTTGTGCCGGTTGCATAATCTGGGCCCTGGGGCCAGCCCTGTGAAGCTGCCAGGGACAGTGTGTGCAAGGCAGAGCTGCCAAACAGGCCTTGCAGGCAACAGCCATAGGAAGGGGGTTGGGGTACACAGGTTATTCCCAAATGCACTTCACAAAAATGTTGGGGAGCTGATCCTTGGGTGGGAAATCCTTCTTTAGAAAAAGACTTTAAAAAAATGCATTTCTATTACCCAGGTTGCTGCTGCTGACTGTGCCTTCTGCACTTTGCTTCTCAGGATAGTTCTATCCTCATTTCTCTAGCTTGGAATGTCTAGCAGTGGGGGCAAACTGGCTGTTTGTTATCAGTGAGAGCTCTAAATGGTTCACCATCACTGGCCTAGGGTTAAGTTGAGCCAGCACGAGCCCCACTGCCAGGAGGTGCCTGGACCACAGGCAGAGTCCAGGTGTTTGCCACCGTCTCACAGGCCACCCAGGAACCACAGCCTCCCTTGTGGCATCTTCTGGCATAAGAGTAGGCGTGCAGCAGTAGGGAGATGAGAGAAGGGTCCGGTTCTGATTGTAGATAGGGAACATATGGTGACCAGATGGTCTGTACTCAGCCTGGTGGGATCGTGTTACGGTTGCTTGTTTGGGGTGTTGCTGCCTAATGGGCTTGGCAGACCAGCAAGTGCCTTTCTCCCTCAGTTACACCACCAGGCTGGTACCAAGGGATGGCACTGGGGGGCTCTGCCTGCTTATATCCTGCAACCCTCTGCTGGCTGTGACAGTGGCCCCAGGCCTTGTTTGTACTGTGCTTCTCCCTGGAGATGGGCTAAGGAGGAGTGGGTGCTTGGTGGGACCATCTAAGACCTCAACATTGCCTCAAAGCTGCTGGTCTCAAGAAGTGCGGAACAGCATGTCAGGACTGGAAGGCAGTGATAGATCCTGAAAAACTCCACAGGCTCTTTGCTCAGCCAGCAGGCTCTCCTCCCACTCCTGGGCCCTGGCAGCCTCATTAGCTGGCACCACTGCCAGGGCGGTTGCCAGGGGTGTGGCAGGTGTGGGTTACACTTTGTGTTCAGGAAGCTGCTCCCCTTTGTTTCCAATCTCCAGCGGGTCTCTCCATGTGCTTCTCAAGCTTGGGTCGGACTGGGGAGAGGGATGGAGGGCATGGGCCATGGGCCCCGTAGGGTCCTGCCACTGACCTGTACACCCCCACTGGCTCACTTTCCTCAGCGGCCGGGCATGTCACCAGGGAACCGGATGCCCATGGCTGGCTTGCAAGTGGGACCCCCTGCTGGCTCCCCATTTGGCACAGCTGTCCCACTGCGGCCTGGCATGCCACCCACCATGATGGATCCATTCCGAAAACGCCTGCTTGTGCCTCAGGCCCAGCCACCGATGCCTGCTCAGCGCCGAGGGTAAGGCATCCCTTTCTCCCACTCTGTCTAGCCTAGCTCTGGAGGAAACAGGTTTCTTTCTAGCTAAGAGCTCTGATGATAGAGGTAGACTTGGCTCTGTGCAAGGTTACTGGGGACTGGAGAGGTGTGTGTGGGGGGGGTGTCCTTCGGACCATTACTAAATGGGTTTCTGTCCTCTGCAGGCTAAAGAGGAGGAAGATGGCAGATAAGGTTCTACCTCAGCGAGTGAGTGTGTTGGGAGGGAGGCCGACTCAATTTTTGTCTGGCCAGGGTGGAAGGCCATCTCCCCTGCCCCTGGGATGGGAAGGAAGTGAGCCAGGCCTGTGTGAAGCAAGATGCTGAATTCCTTCGTCCATAGATTCGGGAACTTGTCCCAGAGTCTCAGGCATACATGGATCTCCTGGCTTTTGAGCGGAAGCTAGACCAGACCATTGCTCGCAAGCGGATGGAAATTCAGGAGGCAATCAAAAAGCCTCTGACGGTATGTGCAGCTCTGGCCACCTGGCCCTTCTCAGACTTTGCTGCCCCTCCCTGGCTTTGTTTTCCATGGCTTTGTTTTCTGCACTCGGACAGAGCAGCATTTTTCACGTGTAGGATACAGCCCATTAGAGCTGAACTCAGTTTCATGTGTTTGGGCCAGTATATATTGTTTTTAATTAAAAACTTTTTATTGGTATGTTTTATTTTACTTTATTTTTTCTTAGTACCAGGGATTGAACTCAGGACTTGCACTTGCCACGCAGGCACAGTGCCACTGAGCTACATCCTGGCCCTACTGGTACATTTTAGATATATGTAGTCATAACCATCACCATAGGGAACGTGTACCTGTACGTGATCTATCTTGCTTCTTTTTCTCCCATTCCTCTCCCCTCCCTTCAATCCCTCTTCCCCTCCTTATTTACAAAAGCTTTGCTTCCATTTTCTCCCATTTTTTCTTGGCCCTTCCTTCTCCCCCTTCCCTTATTCCCCTTCTCATTTGTACATTTTCTTCCTCTTTCCTAACATCTGTTATACATTGTTTTTAAGGAAAACATCTCTTGGTACACTTTAGGTGTACATAATGATCACAGTCATCATAGGGAATTTGTACCTGTGCGTGATATATCCTGCCTCTTTTTTCCACCCCCTGCACACCCCCCACCCTCCCTATATGCAAAAGCCTTGTTTCCATTTTTTCCTTCTATCGTCACTTTTTTTATTCCTTCCTTTCTTTCTCCCTCCCCCCTCCTTAGTTCTCTTTCCCACTTGAACGTTTTTCTTCCCATTTCTTAGTATCTATTACATATTTTAGTCCTTATTTCTACTTTTAGGTTCTCATAGCAGAAAAACAATGCAGTTTTGTTTTTTTTGTTTTTTTCTGGTACCAGAAATCAAACGTAGGACCTTGTCCTTGCCAGGCAGGCAAGATGCCACTGATCTAAATCCCCAGCCCACAATGTGGTATTTAAATGTGTGTCTGATTTATTTTACTTAAAAGTATGGTCTCAGGGTGCTTCCATTTAGCTAGAACTGTCTCACAGTCCTTCATTATGGCAGACTAGTACTCCATTATATTTAAAAAACCCACACATTTTCTTTATCCATTCATCAGTTGATGGGCATTTGGGCTATTTGCAAGATTTAGCTTTTTTTTTTTTTGGTTTTTTGAGACAGGGTCTCACTGTGTAGTTGAGACTGACCTGGAACTCACTATGTGGCCCAAGCTGGTCTCGAACTCACAGTGATCCTCCTGCCTCAGCCTCCCGAGTGCTGGGATTACAGCCGGGCGCCACCACACCCAGCCAAGATGTAGCTATTACAAAGTGTTCTACTATAAACATGGGTGTGTATATGTCACTGTGGTATGATGCTTTTAATTCTTTCAGGAAGATACCAAGAGGGAGAATACCTGGGTCAAATGGAACCTCCAGTTTTAGTTTTTTGAGAAATATCCACACCGATTTCCATAGTGGATGCACCAGTCTATACTCCACCAACAATGGAAAAGGATTCCTTTTTCCCCACAGTCCTGCCAGCTTTTGTTATTGGTTGATTTCTTGATAATAGCCATTCTTTCTGGAGTGAGATGGAATCTCAATTTTTTTTTTTTTTTTTCTGGTACCAGGGATTGAACTCAGGACCTTGTGCTTGTGAGGCAGGTGCAGTGCCACTGAGCTAAATTTCCAGCCCCCAAATCTCTCAAATGACCAGGGATGTGGAATATTTTTTCATATATTTATTTGCCATTTCTACTTCATCTGAGAAGTATCTATTTGTTTCAGATGCCCATGTTTGGATTGGGTCTTTAAATTTGGGGGATCTGATTGTTTTGAGACTATACTGAGGAAGAGCTGGCAAATTTTTTTCCCACTCTGTGGGTTGTCTCTTCACGCTGTTGGTTTCTTTTGCTGTGCAAAAGCTTTTTATAAGATGAGATCCCAGTTGTTGATTCTTTGTTATATTTCTTTTGCTATCAGGGGTGTGTTCATAAAGTCTTTGCCTACACTAATGTCTTCAAGTGTTTTACCTGTTCTGTCTTCTAGCAGATTTAGTGTTTCTGTTTTAATATTTAGATCTTTGATCCATTTCAATTTTATTTTAGTGCATAAAGATACAGGTCTAGTTTTAGTCTTTGGCATGTGGAAAGCTAGTTTTGCCCTCACCATTCATTGAAAAAGCTATCTTTCTTCCAGTGAAGGTTTTTTTCCTTGCTAGCAAACTGTTTTTATCATAGTAGCTTTGTAATATAATTTCAAGTCGGGGATTGTGATTGGGCCAGGATGTTTTATTTATTTATTTTTAAACAGGGTCCTGCTAAGTAGCTCAGGCTGCTGTTGAACTCATGGCAATCCTCCTGACTCAGCCTCCCAAGTGCTGGGATTACAGGCTTGTACCACCATGCCCAGTGAGCATGTTTTAAATGAATATAAAATAGTAGAAAATATTTCACAGAAGTAAAGTACCTACCATTAAAGTGCTGGTATTATCTTATGGAATTGTTGTTTCAGATATATGAGAACCCTGGGTGGTGATTGAAAATGTAAATCTTAGCTAGATGTGACAGTTGCTTGTAATCCTAGTACTGGGGGAGGCTGAGGCAGGAGGATTGAAAGTTCAAGGCCAGTCTGGACAACGTGGTGACTTCTCAAGCCCTCATCTCAAAAAATAAAAAAAGGCTAGGGATGTAACTCTCTGCAAAGGCTGTGACTCCAATCCCTAGTGCAGGAGATGGGGTGAGTGAATGATATAGATTACAGTCAAAAGTTTGGAAGCTACCAGACAGGGTAAAGGTTCTTCTTTCCCATCTTTAAGGAAGCGTTCTCATTTCTCTGTTCTTTTTAAAATAATAATCTAAGCTGGATGGGGTGGTGCACACCTGTAATCCCAGCACTCGGGAGGCTGAGGCAGGAGGATTGCTGTGAGTTCTGAGTTCCAGTTCAGTCTCGACTACATAGTGAGACCCTGTCTCAAAAAACCAAAAATAAATAAATAAATAAATAAATAATCTAGTGCTCACTTCAGCAGCACATATAAACTAGAATAGTCTGCGTGGTACTTTCCAGAAGATGCGGGTATTTTGGGGACCATTGTAAGTGCTTAGGTTGCATTTAAAATATAAGCTGAAGGGTTCCCTTCTGACCCCACAGTGCTGGGGCTGGAACCGAGGGTCACATGCTTGCTAGGGAAATTCTGTTCCACACCCCAGCCCGTGTCTTTGGATTTGCTTGACAACACCCCGTATGTACCTGTGTTGTACCACTGGTCCCAGTGTGTTGACACTGTCATTTATAAATTGCTTTCCACCCTAAAACTGAGTTCTTTGAAAACCAGGATTGGGATGTACTTCCGGGTCCCAGTAGCTAACAAGGTGCTTGGCTGATAGCACTCAATTAATTGTTGAATGAGTTCAAGTGGGAAGACTGGGTAGTGATTTTCAGCATGTTGGTCACCTCTACTTGATTTTCTTTAGCAAAAACGAAAGCTTCGAATCTACATTTCCAATACATTCAGTCCCAGTAAGGCAGAAGGTGATAATGCAGGAACTGCAGGGACCCCTGGAGGAACCCCAGCAGGGGACAAGGTGGCTTCCTGGGAACTCCGCGTGGAGGGCAAACTGCTGGATGATGTGAGTTGGGGAGGGAGGTGTCTGGAAGGGAAGTGGCCTGTGTGGGTTAAGACGGGCCAGATATGGGCACTCCCAGATAAGTTGTGCGGTAGGGAGAGGGCACACCCGTAGCTATTTATTGATTGGGAGTGCTGGGGATTGACCAGAGCCTTGTGCATACTAGCTAGTACTCTACCACGGAGCTAAATAAACTCCAGGGCCAGGTTGAAGGTGTAGTTACTACAGCTTTCCTGCAGATGGCAGGAAGTTATTCACTGGCTGGCAGGGCGTAGGGTTGTGGAATATGGGGGTGCACCAAGAGCTTTTTCCCTGCCCCAATCTCTCACTCTGCCCAGAGTCTGCTTCTTTGTAGTGCAGGCTTCTTTGGAGCTCAAGGGTGGAAGACTGCTCCTTTTTGGGCTTAATGGTTGAGAACTCAGAAGCATCCCTATCTCACACCCCTTTCCATTTGCAGCCTAGCAAACAGAAGAGAAAGTTTTCTTCATTCTTCAAGAGCCTTGTCATTGAGTTGGACAAGGAACTGTATGGGCCTGACAATCACCTGGTGGAGGTGAGAGTGGCCCTAGGGCCTTGGGTGACCAAGCCACCTGAAGATACTAAGCTAAGCCCCTTGGGTGGAGTAATGGCCTTGGTCCCCTAGGGGCCTACTCATTTGGTGATAAGCTGTTTCCTTCTTCCCTACCAGTGGCACCGGATGCCTACCACTCAGGAGACAGATGGCTTCCAGGTGAAACGGCCTGGAGACCTCAATGTCAAGTGCACACTCCTGCTCATGCTGGATCATCAGGTGACATACCTTGGATCATGTCTGGGGCCACAGGGACTGGTCAGGAGGAGGGGAATAGGCTTCTATAAACCTTTCCTGTTCCTGCACTGTTCTTTTTTTTCTCAAGAACTCTTCTGATTCCCCTATTCTCAGCCTCCCCAGTATAAACTGGACCCCCGACTAGCGAGGCTACTGGGAGTGCACACACAGACTAGGGCTGCCATCATGCAGGCCCTGTGGCTTTACATCAAACACAACCAGCTGCAGGATGGACATGAGCGCGAGTACATCAACTGCAACCGTTACTTTCGCCAGGTTAGCTACTTCTGCTGGGTCATGTCCTGTTTGTTTAGTCCCTCATCTGCTGCTGTAGAACTTTAGTGGGTTAGTTCTGGGCCAGTCTTCTATCTCTGGAGTGTTCTACTTCCCCCATTCCTCAGGCGTCCCCAAGCCTCTGGTGCTCTTTCCAGATTTTTAGCTGTGGACGACTCCGTTTCTCCGAGATTCCTATGAAACTGGCTGGACTGTTGCAGCATCCAGACCCCATTGTGATCAACCATGTTATTAGGTAAAGGAAAGGAGGGGGACGGGAAGACTGTTTGAAGAGTAGATATGCCCTTAGTTTGACCTAAAGCCAGAAAGGTTGTAAGCTGGTTTCTTGCTGAGCGTGCTCATAGAATTGGGCCCCAGATGGGTAGTCATGTGCTGCTTCTGCTTCCTTTCCTCTCTCCTGCATGTAGTGTGGACCCTAATGACCAGAAGAAGACAGCCTGTTATGACATTGACGTGGAGGTAGATGACCCACTGAAGGCCCAGATGAGCAATTTTCTAGCCTCTACCACCAACCAGCAGGAAATTGCCTCTCTTGACGTCAAAGTAGGCCAACTTCCCCTGGGACCCGGGATGAGGGTGGGCCAATCTGTCATTTTACTGTGTAACACTGGGAGTGAGATTTCTGCTCAGTCCTTTTGTCTATAGCTATAAATAGACCCCCAGGGAAGGCTTGTGTGACACATGTGCCTCTTCCTCAGATCCATGAGACCATTGAGTCCATCAACCAGCTGAAGACTCAGAGGGATTTCATGCTCAGTTTTAGCACCGACCCCCAGGACTTCATCCAGGAATGGCTCCGTTCCCAGCGCCGAGACCTCAAGGTTAGTCCTCTTTCTTCAGGGGATCCTGTGTACAGCTCTGGGTGTTCTTTACCCCAGCATTAGCCTTCCAGTTCCAAGGGCAGAATTATGCCATGACATTCCTTCTGGCTCTTTGCAGATCATCACTGATGTGACTGGAAATCCTGAGGAGGAGAGACGAGCTGCTTTCTACCACCAGCCCTGGGCTCAGGAAGCAGTGGGGAGGCATATCTTTGCCAAGGTGAGGCTCTGCCCTCTTTGGCCTCCTTTAGCTGTTCACCAGAAGCCTGAACCATTTTCTTCCTTTTTCAGGTGCAGCAGCGAAGGCAGGAACTGGAACAGGTGCTGGGAATTCGTCTGACCTAACTGCTCAGGGATCTTTCTCTGTCCTGGAGCCTGGCAGGGGACCACCCTTTGGGTCCTGGCTTGTGCCACAGACATGTAGGATGGGGTGAGGGGTATCTCCTGGCACCCTATACTGCCAGATTTAGTTTCATAAATGTAGTGTGATAGGATTCCTGGTTGCTCGGTCCCCAAAGCCTTATTACTTTTTGCATTGGCTTTAATTAGGTTCTCAAGATGCCTCCTCTGTCCCCTGCAGGCAGGCCCAGGTAGGACTGCTGGAGGCAGTGCTTTGGCATTTTTAGGAACCAAAGGCTGCTGGGTTTGCATGTTTACAAGCTCTCCTCCTGGGCCAGTGTCAGAGCTGGATCTGGGGAGCTGGGCAAGGAAGAGGAGGAGGCCCAGCCTAGACTCTTCCTAGCCTTTCTAAACCAAAGTTCTTTGCCATTCCTACAAGCCCAGCCTTGCTGCTGGTTTTTTTCCTTTCCTTTGGGTATTTGCACTATGTGGGGAGCAGGTTTTTCTATGTGGGAGCCACTTTTTTTTGTACAGGGGTAAGTTGGGATTTTTCAGGGAGCCCTATTTGGTGCCTCCTTCCTTGTATTTTCTCAATCTATGCAAGCGGCTCTGGCCGCCATCATCTCCTGGGACGCCAGGGGCTCCCCACCAAGGGGGAGGTGGAACCTCTGAGAGGGAGGGAGGGGTGTACCAATTCTTTATCCTGGCCTGAGCAGGGGGTGTGCATGGCAGATGGCAGGGTATGGGGGGGAGGCTAGGAGGACTGTTGTGCCCTTTGTAACTTGGTGAACTTAGGGCTTGGCAAATGCCACTTCTGGAAGGTTTGGAAGTTTCCAAATATAAATTCTTTTGTGTACTGGTGGTGCCTAGACCTGGTCATTGAATAGTGTGGCCACTCTTAACAGACTGGAGTCCTGGAAGGCTTGTTGCACAGATCTTTATTTGAAGGAAACACAAAAAAGATATCCCTTCACTTCCATAACTTTTTGATGGACATATTTTTCTCACTATCCTTCTGCATGACCTAGAGAGAAAAAGAGAGCGCATGCACGTAAGCATAAGTTATGAACAAGCCTTAGTCTCTGCTCCAGAGCTACCATCAGCAAAAGCAGAAGAGTGGAGACAGGTACCTTGGCTACTGCCATCTCAAAATCTTCCTGGGTGACATGGACTCGCCGTTCCCTTAGTGCATACATGCCAGCCTCTGTGCACACACCCTGAGCAGGAAAAGGAAGCTGAGACACTGTTGCCTCCTCAACCCCAAGATATACCTCGAACCCAGAGCTTCCTGCCACTCCTGTGTTTTCTTGAGATTCTAGTTACCTTAACCTCAGCTCCTGATGCTCCTGGCATTAGCTCAGCAATTTTTCTCAAGTTGATCCCCCGGGTCAAGTTCATTTTCCGGGAGTGGATTTTCAAAATGTCCAGCCGGGCCTAGGAATGGGAGAGGAAAGTCCTTGGTCCCACACCTTATCCCCACAGCCAGAGCCATTCCACATACTATCCACCACAAACCTCCTCATTAGGGGGTGGGAATTCAATTTTTCTGTCGATGCGCCCTGGGCGGAGCAGTGCAGAATCCAAGATATCAATCCTATTAGTGGCCATAATAACCTGAGCAGAGAAAGGAAATAAAATCAGCTAAGCTCTTGGCCTGCGTGTCACCCAAAGCCTTCCAGTGGATTGTCCCAAGGCCTACACCACTTCACCTTGATATTCTTGGTGGCTTCAAAGCCATCTAGCTGGTTGAGCAGCTCCAGCATTGTGCGCTGCACCTCACTGTCTCCTCCAGAGCCTCCCTCGAGCCGAGAGGAGCCAATAGAGTCGATTTCGTCCATGAAGATGATAGATGGAGCGTGTTCTCGTGCCATGACAAACAGCTCCCGCACCATTCTTGCCCCTGTGCAGAGACCCAACTGGTATTAGAAGCTAATGAGCTTCTCATCTGCCACCCTTCTACTTGGGTCTCACGTTCCTAGCCAGTTACCTTCCCCAATGAATTTCTGTACCAATTCTGAGCCAGAGACACGAATAAAGGTACAGTCTGTATGATGAGCCACAGCCCGGGCCAACAGGGTCTTCCCGGTGCCTGGTGGTCCGTATAACAGCACTCCCTGTGGGGAAACAGCATGACTCGGGGCAGAAAGTGGGCTTCATTTCATTCAGGGAGCATTTTACTGAATGCTAGCTTTGTGTTTGGTCCCTTGCTAGAGGCAACAGATGTTCCTTTTTAGAGCTTACACCTAAACCAGTTTAGTGTCCTAGAAACACCTCTCCCTCAGCTGCTGCTATTCAGCAGAAAGGTCAGCCCAAGCAGGGTACAGCCTATCCCAACCCAAGCACTCACTCTAGCCTGGGGCAGGAGTAAGTACAGCCAACCTGTTCATCTTCTCACAGAAGCCTAGTTCTCACCTTGGGCTGTGCAATGCCCAGGGCTTCAAAGAGCTCAGGGTGCTTCACGGGCAGCTCAATCACTTCTTTGATCTCCTTGATTTGCTTGTCCAATCCACCAATCATCTCATAAGTCGAGTCTGGCACCTTTTCCACCATCATGAGTGACACTAGAGGGTCTACCTTGTTGGGTAGAATCTTGTGCAGAGTGTAGCTGTCATTTCTTAGGGCCACCCGGCAATTGGGTGTCACCTGGATGGAGGTGGCAAATTCAGGAAGTAGTACACGAAGAGCTTGCCCCACCCTCAACTCACCTGGTACACTCACATCATTGATGTCGATGTTCTTGTCCACATCTACAACAAACTTGCCCTCAGGATGTACCTGAAGAAACAAGGGCTCATGTCTTTTTGTTTGAGACACCATCTCACTATGTAGTTCAGGCTGGCCTTGAACTTACTATGTAGCCCAGGCTGGCCTTGAACTTGCAGTAATCCTCCTGTCTCAGCCTTACAACTGCTGAGATTACAGGCATGCCCTACCACACCCAACCCTTGTGACCTTTCTTACAGCCACCAAATCACCAAGACCCAGGAATTCTAGAATGACATGACATAACACTTGTCCATCAAAAAGCAGTGGGTGACAGACTGGTCTGTGAGGTCATGTTGACTTTACCTTGACCAACACCTTCTTCTTATCCATTGCCCGGACTACTTCACCCACATAGGAACCCTGTTCCTGCAGCAGCTGTAGCTCTTCCCGCAACAGGCGAACTACATGGGAAAAAGATATAGTGGTCACCTTGTTGCTCCTCTATGTCCCCTTCCTGGGGATTTAATTCAATATGAACTAAGTATAACACCATTTTGAAATTTTGAAGGGAAGTCTCTCACACACACACACACACACACACACACACAAACTGACATCCCAAAGGGGCTTACAATGGAACTCTAGATAGAGATGTGTATGGAAAACAACTTAATGACTAAAGCATCACCTTGGACTAGGAGGAAACACTGCTATGAGGCTGCCAGTCTAGGAGATTTGGAACAGCCATACCTCGAACTGCCCACATGCAGCTTCCCATCTTACCCCTCACCTTTTGCATTTAGCTCATTCCTCTGTGCCTGCAGCCGCCGAAGGTTTTGGCTCTTATCATTCACAATCAGCTGTGGAAAGCAAGAGAAAATTCTGTTACTCAAAGGCAACAGACAGGAGGCAGGATCTTGGCCAAGACTCTCATAGGCAGGTTGAGCTACAAGATTCTCCATGTTCAGATTCTCCAGTAAGATCCCAATGACCTTGTCCTGTTGTAAAAAGTCCCTTTGGAGCCTGGGGTAGCCATCAAAAAGGCTGCTTGGGAAATGTTACAGCTGGCTTATGCAGTTAACTTTCTTCTTGTACTGGGGATTAAATTTAGATCTTTAGCCCTGAACTACATCCCTAACCCTTTTGATTTTTTTGAGACAGAATCTTGCTAAGTTGTGCAAGTGGGACCTGAACCTATGATCCTCCTGGTTCAGCTTTTTAAGTGCTGGGAAATACATACTGACTCTTCATGGGGAAGCCAAATCCTTGTAGTGGAAAGATCTTTGGGTAGGAAATCTGAGTTCTAGCTCAGCAGCTGTCAATTTAAAATGAGGTAAAGCACTAAGGATATAGCTCAGTGGCAGAGTACTTGCCTAGCATTGATAAGGCCTTGAGTTCAACTACCCACTATTGGAAAAAAGGAAAAAGAACTAGCATGCACAAGGCCCTGGATTTGACCCCCAATATATAGTAACTGCAAGTGTACCTGGAGTTTGGAAATTTTTCTTTTGTCTTACCTCATGCATTATATTATCTCTCTGGCTTAGCTGGTTAGGCTAACACGCTGAGATGCCCAGTTCTTTCACTCAGTCCCCATGACATCAGTGTCATTCAACTCCTCAATGTTATCCCTCCCCAAGTTGTCATTTCTCCCAGCCCCAGCCTCTTCCCAATAAATCTCATCTCCTGGGCCTATGTCTCCTCTTTCTTTAAAAATTTTTTTGGTACTGGGGATCGAACTCAGGACTTTGGGCTTGGGAGGCAGGTGGCAGAACCACTGAGCTAAATCACCAGCCCTTCCTCTTTTTAATAAAACCTTTGCATTCATACTTCTTTCTTCCAAAAGGTTACAGTCATGGGTTAGTGACCTTTTGTATTAGAATTCGACTCGTGGAAACTGAGTAACAAAATGTATTATTTCCCTTAAAGGGGTGGGGCTTAAGGGTAAAAGCCTTTTTTTTTTGTCTTTCCCCAAGACAGGGTCTGTCCATGCAGTTCAGGCTAGCCTTGAACTCATAGTGATCCTTCTGCCCCTGCCTCCCAAGTGCTGGGATTACAGGTGTGCACCACCACACCTGGTTCTTAAGAGTAACGACATTGTTGGTTTCATATACTACTAGAGATTGGTCTTGAACTCACTATGTAGCCCAAGTTGGCCCCTAACTCTAACTTTTAGCATTCTCTTGCCTCAACCTTCTGAGCGCTGGGATTATACAGGCCTGTGCCACCACCTGCTACTTGTTACATCTTACAAGGATACTTTTCTAAAGACTAGAAACAAAATAGGAAAAGGCCAGGTGCTGGTGCAGGCAGAGGCCAGCCTGGGCTACATTGTGAGTTCAAGTTCGGCTTGGACTACATAGCAAGACCCTGCTTCAAACAACAACAAAAACAAAAAACCCCAAAGAACAAAACAGTCCTCATCCCCTCCTAGTTCCATCTAGAGTCAGTCCTCACCTGGAGTTCTTCAATCTTGGACAAATAGTATTGGCGGAGTCCGCTGCCTGCCTTCCCCTCTTCCAGCTCCATCTGAAGAAACAGTGTACTTTTTAGACAAGAGGCTAAAACCTCAAGGAGTAAAGCCACATTCAGGGCATTTCACCGTAAGGGTAAAAAACAGGCAGCTCAGCATAGTAAAGAGCTCAGACTTCGGAGGCTTAGTATCTGGATTCAAATCCATCACTCCTCCATTCCTTTGAAGCCTCCATCTTCCCATGATTAAAATAAAAAAATACAAACTCCGCCTACCTCCTTAAGGCTTTTTAAAAAGATCGAGAGACCAAGTACACGGGAGCCCCGGGAACTGTGGCAAGTGCCATACAGATCGGAGGTGTTACTACTGTAGACGGAGCCAGAGGAAAGACAGTCAGTCACCCAGCCTCCCGCTCCAGAGGCACTTATTCCACTTCTGCAAGGCTTTGCCCCGACTTACCGCGGGCGGCGCTGACACAGCAAATCCAGTCTCAGGCAGGGCCCGGTCTGGAGTGGTCCACCTACACCCCCGACCCACCCGACCCTCTGCTCTCGGCCCGCTCTCCACCTAAGGTCACGCCGCGTCGCACTCAGCCGGGGTCTCTGCCCGGCTGCCGCCGCGGCAGCCACCGTACCTGCTCTGGCCCGTCAAGCGCCATCTTCCCTCCTCAATAGAAGTCGCCGGCATCCGAGCCACCTTAGCGCGCAGGCGCAGAAGCCGGGG